CCAGCCACTGTCTGAGGACTGAGAGCCTCAGCAGTGTCTCTCCTTGTGTCTTGGCCCCGCACAAAGCTGTGAGTGAAGCAGCCTTGGCTTCTCACAGCTCCTGAGCTTGTTTATGTCTCTCAGCTGGGTCTGTCTCCACCCAGCCAAAAACACCTGTGCTCCACAGCCCCTGACCTTGCTGGGTTTCTGTTTTGCAGGCTCCAGCCAGGTCACCTGTGTGATGCTGCTTGGGGAAGGTACAGGTGGAGAGAATGTCACCCGAGGAACTGGCTGCACTGCTCTGTGAGGAAGGAGATCAACACCTCATCCAGCAGGACCTACCAGCAGCCACTGCTTTCTACCTGGCTGCCTTCAGCTGCAACGCACACACAGCAGTGGAGAAAGTGAACTCCATGGCCAAAGGGCTGTGGGAACAAGTGATAGCCACTCTGGAGATGTGGTGCAAAGGCAAGAGTCAGATTCCCAAGATCCAGAGTAAGAACCTGGCCGTTGTGTCCCTCAGCGTGGGAATAGCTGCTATCTTCCTCTCCGCCCTAAACCCCGACAACGTGGTAGCCTCGGTGTACAAACTGGAGAACCTGCTGCAGAGAGGATTCTCAGAGGAGGTGGTGGGTAAATGCACTGTCCTGCTGCAGGCTAACCCCAAGCATTCCATGGAGCTGCTGCTGCTCAGGGCTCTGGCGTGGGTGCTGTCGGGGGCACAGCTCAGGAAAGGTGTTGTGGACTATATCCAAGCCTATGTGCTCTACCAGGCTGAGGCAGTGGCCTACGTGTGCAGTAGGCAAAGGGAGCACCTGCCACAGGTCATCGAGGCCTTCTCTAATTTTCTCTCAACGTGCCAGAGGGAAAGCCCAGACAGCAGCCCCTTGGACCAGTGGCTGGCCAACTGCTACGGCTTCTTGTCCGCGGTGGCCCCGGGCAGTGTCTGGGTTTGCAGGGCACAGGCAGCTTACCTCTTTAAAAGAGGCAAATTTGAGGAGTGTGTGGCAGTTTGCACCAAGGCCCTCAAGGGTTTCTCAGCTGATAATCTCAGAGATGAGAAGGTTTTGGGTCTGCTCCTGGAACGAGCTGCTGCATACTTCTTCCTGGGGGGCTGGATGCAGGAGATGGTGCAGGATCTAGCAGAAGCCTTTGCAGCAAACCCTGCCCAGGCAATGAAACACTTTGAGGAGCTTTTCTCACTGTGTGATGTTAAGAAGATAGAGGAACAGGCCAGAGCTGTCCTGGAGGTGAAGTTTGTAGCATACAGGGAGACTGTGCGTGCTCGGACCGAGCTCAGAGGCAATCAGGGTGCTGAACTGCTCCCTCCTGTCATCCAGACCATCCAGCTGCTCCTCCAGCTGTCCCCGGGGTTCAGGCGTGAGCTGAGCGTGCGACTCGCAGACTGTCACCTCCTGCAGGGACACACTGCAGCTGCCCTGGAGATCTGTGACCAGCTCTTGGCAGCAGAGCAGAAAACTTACCACAACACCCTGTTGGCACTGCGAGGATTCTGCTCCCTCCACGCTCACGACCACCAGCAAGCCCTGCAGGACTTCCAGAAGGTCATTGAGCATGAGTCCCCCCATCCCAACAGCTGCATCAAAGCCTTGTGTGGCCGTGGGCTGATCCGGATTTCTGGTGGCAACCACTATTTGACAGCCCTGGATTACATCACAGCTTGCCAGTTAAAGCTGGAAGAAACCATCTTCACAATCAAGTCCTATGTGCCATGGAACCAGAGAGGACTTCTGCTAAAGGTTCTCCAAGAGGAAGGACAGAGGATGCTCCAGAAGAAAAGGTATGCAGGAGGCAGTGCAGTTTCTTTTCAGAAAATCAAATGGGGCTGTGCAACTGCCTAACTCCTAACCCTGAAGGTGTTTTGTTGGTTTTGCCCCTCCAGGGATGCCCCTGGGGTTTTCCAGCTGGCTTCTCTCCTGGTGGAGCTGGATGCCTCTGACGAGGCATCTCGGATCCTCTGTGCTGATGCTCTGTACCAGATGGGCCGTGTGGAAGAGGCTCACAAGCTGCTCCTGCTCTCACTCTCCAGGAACCCACAAAGGGCTCCTGTCCTGGCCAGACTTGCACTGCTGCAGCTGAAGAAAGGCTTCGTGTATGATGGCAACCAGGTAAGGAGCACCTGGCAGAGTCTCATCTTCAGGGTCATTCCCTCCTGCATTGCTGTGTTAGGCCTGGCTTGGCACTGCTTGTGCCAGGCAAATAATCACCATGCTCAGTGGTTTGTGTGCATTTCCATTTTGTAGCTAAACATTTTGCTGTTAGAAGCTCCGTGAGCAGCAACAGTGAGGGCTGTTGGCACAGTGAAACTTGGAGCTCATGGGAGGTTTAGGCAATTCAACCTCTAGCAGAACTTCTGAGATCGAAACACAGGCTATAAGTGTCAGAGAATCATAGAATCACAGACTTTCTCTCTGTAGCACAGGCCACACAAGGACTCTTGGCTAAATCCAGCCCAATCCTCACATGCTATTTAACGGCACTTTCAGCAGAGACTGTAATCCTGCCCTGGGGACAACATTATGGGATGGGCAATTTTCCTTTAGAGAAAAGAAGGCAGAAGTGCCACCTCACTGATTACCCTAATGAAGCAATGGAGAGGAGGAGAAAAAAGATATAAACCCTCAAATATCAGTCTGCACTTTTCTTCCTTTGATGCTAATGACTCGTGCTTGAAACCGTGAAAGATTCCAGCACGTTTGATCCTCCTACCAAGGATTCCAGAGCTGAATTCCCAGGTTCTGCCATCAGAGGGAACTGTTGCATTTGTAAAAATCCCTCATAAATTCTGCTAATCGTACAGAGAAAGGTTTTACTTCCACCACTTCACTGCTCCCCCTGAAAAAGAAAAGTTTGGTATAATTACTGCCTTGGGGAGGCTCTTAAGGGATGATGTGGCTTTGTTAGAGTCCATGTGTTGCCCTTGGAACTTGGATTCTCATCTGCAGCTTATGCTGCAAGTTCTAGGTGGAACATATTTGTTATGTGAAGTTCAAGGGATGTGTCTGGTGCATCAGGATAACTTCGTTCATGTCCTGGTTTCTCTGGCTCAGTTGTGAATATCCAGTACCTGCTGAGCACCTTTGTTTCACTGGAGAAAACACCTTCTGATTCTTTTTCTGTAGGAAATGTGGTTAAAAAGTGCTTGTGATTACACTGCAGTGAATGGAGGCAAAGATACCACAAGCCTCCTTTCCAGGAGGACAGTAGCTGGTGGATTTGAATCCCTGCTTTTCCCAGATTCCCAATAACAACACTAAGACAAGGCACAGCACTTCCCTGATATTCCATTGATCCACTGGGTTTGTTTTCACAGCCCAAAGGGGCCACTGGAATCCTTGTGCTGCACAGCAATGTTCTTTTCTGGGGAAAATCCTCCTGTGGCTGAGCTGTGCTTGGCAAAGCAGTTCCCAGCCAAGCAGGAGCAGAAGCTCCCAGAGCCAGCCAAGCAGATCCACTTCCCCAGGACTCCTTCCACAGCTGCAGTGGTGGTGGGACAAGATAAGAATTGATGTTTTCTCCACCATGCCTTGGCACCAGGGCCAGCTGAAGGGTTGAGTAAGAGGTCTGTGGGCCTTGGCTGGGTGAGGCACTGGGTAAGACACTCTGCTCTCCCCAGACAGCTTACATGGCTTCATGTGTCCTCATGCAAGTCTTTCTCTGCTGCCTTTTTCTCTCCCGTGGTTAAGCTGCTCAAGAGAGTGATCAGAATTGGAGATACCTCCTGCCTCCTGCCAATCATGGATATCGCCAAGGATGAAGACAGGAAGCTGATGCAAATCCACTGCCACTTCAGAGCACTGAGCATCCTAAAGAACAAGCAGGAGGATGCTGACATCAAAGAGGCCATTGCCTACCTGTCCTTTGCCATCATTGCTGCAGGTAGGATATGGAGACACCAATGGAATTTACTTCTAAGGGAAAAGAGGTCAGTGGGAGGACAGAAAGTGCAGCCAGTTCTCCTCTGTCATCCCCCAGTGAGAAGACAAACTGCAGACTCATATGGGCCATGGAAAGGTGTAATTAAATAAGAAGTGAATAGTTTGTGGATTCCTTGAAGTGGGTTGCAAGTGTTCAGTCCTGCCAGGACATCAGTCCTACCCCTGCCAGAAGAGCTAGGCTGAGCAGATCCAGTGTGAAGAGTGAATGTCCCCACTTAGATGTGTCATTACCTTAGCTTTTCCTGAGGAGAGGGATCAGGCTGACATGGAATGGCTTCTGGCACATTCCAACTGACACCATGTTTGTATGGAAATCTGCCTCTCACTCTGAGCAAATGTTATGACAGCAGCATTGAGAAGAAGAGAGACTGGTTTATGAAAATGGAAAAAAAAAAAGAAAGAAACAACCCTGGTAATTGCTTGGAGAAAGTTCCATTTTGCAGCCTGTGCATTCCAGCTTATCAGCTCCCACCTGCTAGAGCAGATGCTTGTTAAGAGATAGATATTGTCCTTGTAGGAGCCAATTGGTAGAGCTCCAGAGTGGTAATAACCTTTGGTACAGAAGTTTTGGAGCACATCAGGAGGGAGAAAAAGGCTCATTACTGTACAAGGCTTGCTGGGAGCCTGTCTGCTGGCTCAGCTCTGCAGGCAGCTGCTTTTGCTGCCCTCCCCATGAAAACATATTTCCAGTGGCACTGATGATTTATCACCCACTATTGGGATGCCACAGTTATTGATTACAACCCTGGGTATATTAAGATCCTTATCAAAATTGCCTTGAAAGGAAGGGCCATGTGGATGGCAGGAAGATAAATGCTCTGCAGCCACAGAGTGAATGGATGGACCAGGATTTCTCTGGCAGCTGTGTGTGTTTGTTTGGGCACTTATGTGAAAGCAGAGAAGAAAGAAGCTTAGTGTCACAAATCCCAGTGCATATTCACTCTGGCAAGGAATTAGTCAGTGCTGTCTGGATTACCCATTTATCCAAAACAATGTGTACCTTCCCTGCCCATGGCTTGGACTCTGTAAGGTCTTTTCCAACCCAAACCATTTTGTGATCCTCATTCCATGGAAACACCCACATGGCCTTGTGCCTCCACTCACATCTCCTCCTCGGAGCTTTCTCCTCTCATTTGTGCTGTTCTACTCCAACCTGACACAGATGTTTTTTTCCTTACAGCTAGTTATTGATCATACGAGATAAGAATTCCACTTGCAATAGAAATAAAGGAAACTTCCACTTGAGCACTCTCATTGTACTCAGGCATTCCCAGGCAAAGTGGACTTTTCCTACATCTTCCTATGGATACTCTCCAGGTAACCCTGGCTGTGTTCCTCTCCTCCAGGTGGTTATGCTGAGGATTGTCTTCTCACCAGGGCTCGATGCTATGGGCGCCTGGGGCAGATGAAAACTGCTATTTTTGATTTCAATGCCATCCTAAAGGAGGATCCCAGGAATGTGCAAGCTCTGAGCGGCCGAGGGTTCATTTACCTTGCTCTGAAGCAGCAGAAGGTATTATCACTCTCTTGATTTGCTGGTGATTTTTCTAATGGTTAAACAATATCAGTGTAAGATATCACAGTATCTGTCATGGACTTGCTGTAATCAAGAGTTTCTCCCAGGATTTGGGCAGTGAAAAGCTCTGGGTTTGGCTGGGTGTACAAGCAGTCACCTGACATTCCTGATTTGCTTTCCCAAGCCTAGAGAGAGGAAGACTAAACCTTAGTCATCATTTTCAGTGATTCCCCGAGGAGTTCAAAGCACTTTACAAACATTCAAACCTGTCTTTATGCTCTTCTATCAGCGTTGCCAAAGGAAAAGAGCACAAAGGACAGGGAAGAGCAAAAAGCTTCTGTGGGACAGCAGAGAATGGAAAACCCCTGAAAAACGAAATGATCAGCACTTAGTTATTGCTACCATTTCATTTCTGGGTGTTCTTTGTCCCCAGGAGGCAGTGCAAGACTTGATGTCAGCCCTGAAGGTGCAGGCAGGAGCAGTGATCCCAGCCATCCTGTCCTTGAAGAGAGAAGCCCAAAGGCTCATCACTCAGTGGCTCCTCCAGCATGGCAGGGCTGAGCTGGCCCAGCTCGTGGCTACTGGAGACCTTCCAAAAGAAGAAACCCTCAAGGACCTTCTCATGATTGCTAAAACACTAACTAAAATTTGCAAGGCTGCACAATATCACATCTTCTACACAGACGTTTTGATAGCAAATGGTAAGTTCCAATCCCTTTGCACAGCTGATCTGGCTCAGTGGATGGGCAGGAAGCTGAAAGAAGGTGAATGCTAAATGGCTAAAGTGTGGCTGGATAGAACTTAACAAGAGAAATTTGCAAATGTTTTGGGAAAAGGGAATGAAGTCATTAACACCCTTAGATGTGCACTGTGCACAGGATCCCTAATCCTGCTGTAGTGAGTTTTCTCAGTGTCTGTCTCCACATGGAATGGGTTATGGAGCTTGTACTGATGTTCCCCACCAGGAAGGTATGAAGAGGCCCTGAGCCACCTCCAGGAAGCTTTTGGCCGCTCTCCTGCCGATGCCTTGGCTGGGGCACGACTTGCTGTGCTGCAGCTGAAGAGGAGGAACATGTCTGGGGCAGCTCACTCCCTCAGCATCCTGGCCAGGAGAGATGAAAGGGAGCTGGCATTTCTCCTCAACTTCATAGATGCTAAGCAACAGCAGCATCTCTCGCAGGTACAACCCTTCCTTGGGCTCACACCTGTGGATCCCAAGGGGATGGAATGGGGATGCAAAATGAGGCTTGCAGAGATTGTTCCCTGCCTTGTCTTGAGCAGAAGTGTGTGGGAAGAGGTTATCAGATGAATGAGGAACAAATTGGCTTCATCCTCCAGCCAGATTAGGGAGCTGGATCCAAAATCTTCCAAAATGCTCATGGCAGTGACCTTGCTTCAGTCAGTGCCACTTCCTAGCAACTGGGAGTGATCCCAGAGCACAAGAGCTGTTTAATTCCACACTAAAAAATGCAGGGCACGTGAGGGGCAGCAGCTAGAGGTTCAACAGCATCACTGCTGGTGTTGCACTCTGGGTGGGACACAGTGCTCAGGGCTTATTCAGCCTTTGAGGTTGGTTTTCTTAGCTCAAATTGCCACAACATTGCCCCCAATATCTATCACTAGGTATTTTTTCAAGTTTCTCCCCCAAAGCACACCCAGCCCTGAGAAAGCCACTCCAATAACAAGACAGGAGAAGGTCAGATTGATGGTGAGGAGTTTTAACATTCACTCGAGCATCTGCAGCTCTGATTACCCAGAAGCTCAGTGCTCTGAGAACCAGTTTGCTTCCTTTGATTCAATTTGTGCTGGTGTGCACCCTGGTGAGGAGCTATATTGTTGTGCTCTCTGCCAGGTTATAAAACAAACAACATGCTGATGTGCTTAATGCATGGAGGGGAGTGCTTGGAACGTATTTTTAGCAGAACAGCAGGAGGATATAAGTAAACAAGTATTAATTTAGCAGCCCCCAGACATGCCCCATTACAGAGCACACAGCCCCTCGCCGAATCATGGAAAAACTTCAGTCTTAGGGGGAAGAGTTGGAAGATTTCAGAGCCAATTTGCAATCTTTCACTTTGGAAAGCTGATAAAGGTACAGCTAAGACTGTGGCTGTGGAGGCCCCAAGGAGGTGTCTGTAAATGAAGACACATTTTACAGCTGAATTTCTCTACTGCACATCTCTGCTTCTATGGGGAAGGCTCACAGCTAAGTCCCTCTCTGCTGCTTTCCCAGGCAGCACAGGAGGCATTTCCATAGGCTGTCAGTAAGTAAAGAAAAAAAAAAAGAGAAGGAAAAAAACCAAAATTAACTAAATTTTGGATAGCTTATAGTGCACTGATGTGTTAGAACTCGCTGGTGCCTCAGGTGAGTGAAGCTTTAAAATGGGAGAGGCACTTCTTTCTGTCTCTTTGGCAGCTGTGGATCAGGGTCTGGAATAAACTCCCTCAGTGTGGCTTATTTATCAGGAGAGATTTCTCTGCTTGAGACAACAGGGGTGACTGGGCTGAGTTCAAAACTGGAACTCAATACCAGTGTTGGAAGTAAGAGAGTCATTTTTTCTTCTTTAATCTTGTGCTTTTGTTCAGCTGATAAGGGTTTGACCTCAAACACCTGTGAGTCTTTCCCTGTTCTCTATTCTTCAGAGCTTTACTGAGTGTCATTACCTCTATTACTGGTTAGTCCAGAACTAGGGATTATTTTAGCATTTTGTGCCAGGGGGATAAGTGTGTCCTTTCTGGGCTAGGGGAGGAATTGGTTAATTCACCTGCTCAATGTCTCGAAGGATTTCCCAGCAGCATTTCCTTTTGCCTGCAAGGTTATTCCAGGCTGTGTGTGAAAGGAAGAGCTCAGTAAAAGCTTATAGAGAGAATTAGTACCACAATCCCCAACTCTGGCCTCACTTTGCCATTGCTCCTGACCACAGA